ATTATATTTTGAGTTGGTTAATTAGCCAACTTGCGGTGTACCGACGGGACTCAAAATTTGAGTCGATCATTACTGAAAAATATTTTTATGAAAGTACGGGAAACGAAGAGTGCTTTGGTGGCATCTATTTATGATTTTGAGGTCTCAACCATTTATTTTGGGTAGCCCGAAGTTGAGAGAAAAATGGCAGTGGCGGTGATTTTATTGTCATTTTCATGTCTAGACTTCGGGTAATCGTCGGCCCTCGTTGAGGCGTGTTGAAAATTAGCGGGAGTGCCTTCTTGAAAGCACGAGAACAGTAGAAGTCGTTCGTAAAATTTATTTCACGTTTCAAAGTTTTGAGCATTTATTTTGAGAAGCTCGAAGTCGAGTGCGCATAATAGAAGAATAAAAAGCCGTTTTGCGGGGTTCCATAAGGTTGCGTGTGACCTCGGTTTAACGAGAATCGAGTTGCAGTGTGTAGACAATTCAAGCACGCTTCCATACGGACAAATTTCGTATTTTTCGGAGTTCCGAGCATTTATTATGGGATTTTGAATTTCTGCGTTAAATAGTATTAAAAGGAGCAAATTTGTCGAGGACGAGTTCGATCGTTCGAGGCTTCGTTTTCCCAATTTTTTCAGCTTTTCGTCTATTCGAAAGGAGGTATAATTCTTGATTATTATTATAATTGAGTCCGAGATTTTTATTAGTATAAATTCGAGTATTTTCCGAGTTAAAACAATTCAGTTTAAGTATACCAGTTTAATTCCGGACTTAGTTTGATTTTTAGAAAAATCTCTAGAGTAATCCTTTATATCCTGCGAAAATTTTTGAAAGCATCCACAAAAGCCCTTTGAGCGTCCTTCCGATGCCGGAGTGGGGGTGGTGCGCCGCGGGATGGCCGGAGTGGGGGTGGTGCGCCGCGGCAAATTGAACCCTCCCCGGGATGACCGACTGGTTTCGCCAAGGGATAACCTTTTTTTCATAAAGAGTGGGGAGTTTGATCTGCCTGATAATTCAACTACAACCAAATTGAAAACTATGGACATAATCTCATTTTAATTAGATGTGGGAATGATGTATATAAATTTGTATTGTGTTGCATCATGTATGGAGTATATATTTCAATTGTATTGAATATGTCCATAATTGAATATGTCTATAAATTTTAGCCTCACTGCTTGTAATTTTAGAACTTGCAACCAAAAAACTCTATTCCTAGTAACTAGTTTATGGGATAAATGAGAACTGGAGATGGTGAAACAGATCGCTTTTACGCGAGAAAGGGGGACCACCCTCTAACCCTAAGTATTCTTCAATGACCGATAGCGATAGCGCTTGTTTCTCTAGTTTTTATTCTGCCCCTCTGAGTTGCTCCAACCACTGGAATCTTCCAGCTACTTATCACCTGAGTTGGTAGGCCAAGGCCACTATCTAAGTTCTAGGAATAAATCATACTAATTGGATATAATATATCAACGTTTCAGGTATGATCAACTGCACCAACACTTGGTCAACGATGCGGTGGCAATTTCATACCGCAAAAATTCAATTTTAGTAAATTTGCTTGTCTAAAGTAGTTTTTTGGTACACTAACTTTCTCCTCATCGATAATAGTACGTTATGTTGCAATTTGTATCACTATTGAGAAATTATCGCGAAAATGGTTCATTATTTTCTGGGATTAATGTCCTAAAAATAATACAAATTGCAACATAACGTACTGTTTTTATGAGTGATGTCCAAAAAAAATTTTAGACAAATAAACATACCAAAACAATTATTTTTTTTTTCCTTTTCATACTATTGCATACCTTTGATTTTCACGCGTGGTGGCATTTGTCATTTTATAAAATATGTTGTTGCATTGTTGTGTATTTTCACATGTATTAATGTGCATTTCTTCTAACATTATTATGCATATGGTAGAGCAGTGACGTTTTACTAATTTTTTGAACTTTAAAATACCCCGGTGGTGGCATTTTTGTAATTTTGTGAAACACGATTGCATATATAATGTGCATAATCGGAATGCTAGGAGATTGAATGCTCCGAAGCAGGAGATAGTCGACAGGCCGAGTGCATCCAAGTCGAAAGAGGAAAGGCTTAAATTTGATAAAGGAAAGGAAAATGCAGATATCCAGTCAGGGAGAGAGATCGAGTACATCCAAATGATTTAAGGAAGCGACGATAGAAAGTTTAGGATCGGGAAGGAATTGAAAGAGCCCTTCAGGTCGGAGCTCATCAAATTAATCAGAAAGTTTGCGGATGTTTTTTCTTGTAACTTTGTGTTGGTACTATGTTGTAGTTATATATTTAGGGGTCGTTTACTTTGGGGGATAGGGATAGGCTAAATAATCCAGTCCAACTTTAC